ACACACACACACACACACACACACACACACTAATTTTATGTAATACAATTGTATTAAATAAATTGGAAAAATTGGTTGGAAAATTAAATTGCACCAACAAATTGTATTGAATAAAAGGAGCACCAAACAACAAAATGCAGTGTATATGTGTGTAAAATGAAGATCATTATGACTCTTAATGATTTTTTTTTCATTGCTCAGGGGTTAAAGTTTTGCCAGACCTCTTTTATAGCTCATAAACACAAATCACAGAATTGACTATAAACCCAGTCGGACCTCTGCAGCTTCATTTAAAATAGCATTTTATTAAAAAATTTCTACAAATTGAACATTTCTATTTTACCTTACTATCAATATTTAAAGGTGCAGCTTAATGTTTAAAAAATGTACTTTGGATTTATTGTTATGCTGAATATATTTACCAAATGGACCATTAGTACATAAACCTCAAGAGCAAGTCTGTAGAAAATGCCAGCTGCTTTGGAATAGCCAGATGATTCTATACTGACTCCACCTCAAGGAAAAGGACTCTAGAGTCAGAGAAAAGGTGTCACAAATCCCTTATTGTAATCACTGCTATAATTATAAAAGACTCGTTTATGGATTTTATGGATTTGAAGAGCCTTCTGTACTCATCATTTGACTTGTTTATCCTAAAGACATTTAGTTGCTTTAGTTGCTTTAGTGTTGAGCGTGCCTACAGAGTCAGTAACCGACATGTTACTGACAGTGACAGTAACTGTACGGCATGTTAAGATTAGCTTACTACAATTTTATGAAGCAAACAGTCTGGACACACTATATACTGTAAGACAGTATGCCACATTGTAAATGTAACACACTCCATGGAACTAGAAATATCATTATTTCCAGTGTTGGGAAGGTTACTTTGGAAATGTAATAGGTTACAGATTACAAGTTACCCTATTTAAAATGTAATATGTAGTGTAACTATTTAAATTACTTTATGAAAGTAATGTAACTGATTACATTTGATTACTTTTCTAAGAATTTCAACTGTTAATCATTTTCAAACATTTAAAGCAGACAGGATTAACCTTACAGTTGTACTCAACACTGATTACTGTCAGACTTTCAGAATCCTTCTTCACTTGAATTAAGATTATAACAATTTAATTGTAAAGCACAGCCACCTCAAAATCGGACTTTAGCACCTCTTTTTACTTTGAGATCTTTTTGAGGTTAAATACAGATTTAAAATCATAAGATATTGTTTAATAGTTATGATACTGTTTTTGAAATAATGTATTTGCATAGTTATGACAGGAAACACTGGCATCTAACAATTCCTTGGAAAAAAACTGTTAATCTTAAAAAACAAACAAACAAATAAACAAAAATCATACAAACCAAAATAGGAAATAAAATTTATCGAATAATCATGTGTCCTATTCTGTGTCCTCAAATCCTGAAACATTGGTATCTCATATTTTAAATCTGCATGTGTGTGAAAATATTCAGATGTAACCCCCTTTGTAATCATTAACATTTCATAAGTAACTGTAATTTAATTACAAATTTTTCTCAGTAACTGTAACAGATTACAGTTACATTTATTTTGTAATTAAATTATGTAATTTAGTTACATGTAGCCTACCTAGTTACTCCCCAACACTGATTATTTCTGTGATAATAAATGGACACCACTTTCTAAATTAAACATAAGATGAGATGTGACAACAATGTAACATACTATTTATGAAATGTTAAGGCTGTCAATCAATAAAAAAGAAAAAATCTAATTAATTACACAATGTGGTGATTAAATTAATCTAAATCACATATTAATTGCACATCAAATCTG